AGAGGTGGAAAAAACTTGCTAATCTCTGAGGTGATTATTGGAATTAGCATTGAGGCTCTTGCTCAATGCTAAAGCATTGAGCATTAGCATTGAGGCTAACTGGATTATATTGTTGTGGTGAACGAGCCTGCTGACCTTTCAACATCATGAATGTCATGTAAAAATGAATGAAAGTCACTTACATGTTTTCACCACAGTGACTTCTTTTCATTGTTCTAGGTTTACCAGGTAGCCCAAATGTGCTCAGAAAAAGAAAAAGAAAATCTCTGGCCCCTCCCACTTTGGGTTAACTCAACCAATGAGATCATTTCTGGCTCCTGAACATCTCCGCTTTTGATGCATGTTTGAAGAACTGAAAGTTCTCTTTGGAGGAGAAGGAGAAGAGTAGGAGTTGGTTGTGGTTGAGGTGGGAAGCAAGGAGGGAGGGAGACTCATCCACCCTCACCTGTTCGATATCCGTTTGACCGATCCCCTCGGACTGTCTGATGTTCCTCCTGTCATTTCCCCTTTTTCATGTCACCTGACTCCCAACCCATCCCTGCCTATAAACCCCGCCCTGCTCTGACCCTCGCCCGGTGTCGATGTTTCTTTTTTGTATTTCTTTTATATATGAGAACACAATAAAAAGGGGTCTAATTTTTTATACAAACCATGTGTCTGGTTGCCTTTTTGTCCCGTTTCCATGGCTTCCCATAAGAGGCAGGTTTAGATACACCCTAAAATATGAGCTTTGACTGAGGATTAGTTAAACCAAGTGCACTTCAGACATATGTCTACATTCGTTGCACAAAGGTTAGTCGGTGATCGTCACCGACTGGTTAGTATTCAGTATTTCTAACTGAGGGAAATGTCTCAGAGGTTTCTGTGTAACTTCCTATGATGTAGCTGGTTGAATGAAAAGGAAAAGTGCTTCAGTCCTTTCTGTGTCACCTCTTAGCAGAGGATACACCAAACCATCATTTCTGAAAGGAAAGACCACAACACCATCATGTAATTCATAACAACATCTGTGTGTTACGAGGTCGTTTTCTTCTGTGAAGCACTTTGTAATGTGGGTTTAGAAAAGCACTCGATAATTACAGATTATCCATTTTATTAAAACGATCTGAATACATTTAAGGTTTGATTGTCGTCTTATTGCCAGCCTTTAGGATTAACTAATCAATTAACCTGACTTAAAGGCAGGAGTTAGACTGGATCGTCTCTCCATCAGGAGGAGAAAATAGGAACTAATCTCATTTCACGTTACTTTGTGGGCTTGTGTTCCAGTGTGAGGCGTCTTATTTTCTGTAATATCAACCAGTTGCTATTTATTTTTGTAAAAGTGTAAGCTGTATTATTCTAAGCCTGAAGTGTCTTTGTGAGACCCGTCCCATCTTTTGAATGCTGATGTTATTGAAAAGAGACAGCATTCAGTGCGTCTCCAGAAGAACAAGCAGGTTAAAAAGTATCTGATTCCATTTCCACATCTTTTTATCTTCTTGATTAAAAAAGCTTTTGATGAATTCTTCCTTCTCTTCACATCTGACAAGCGTGAAGTGAGGAAGTTGGAAGTGAAGCCAGACACCTGCTGCACAATCCCAAACCATCTGGACGCCGGCTGAGCTCAGCTGATGGTCGATGATCTGAATCAGAGCTGATCGTCTGCTCTGTTCAGACACAGGAAGGATGCTTTACTGTTCCCGTTTTAACACAAATACCAAACATCAACAGGATGTAAGAGCAGCTCTTTGATGTTTTACTGTAGCGGGGAGAATGAAAGTCTTCAAAA